CACGCTCCCCCTCCCGCTCTCCTCTCCCTCGGGGTGGCCCTGCGCGCCAGATGCTACGTCACTTCCGGCCAAGTTGGAGCGCGAAAAAAGATCTCGGGTTTGCTGGAGCTTTAGACCATTTGTATGTGGCGGCGTTTGTGGTAGGCTGTTCTTTTGCTCTCCTTATTCTAGGAAGTCTCCGTAGGGATTATCCCGCTGCTGAAGATATAATGGAAGCTTTTGGGTTTTTGTTTTTGCGCAACTGTGGTCCTTCTGGCTTAGGAGAAAGTTGGGCTCGGCGCGCGGGCGGAGTTTCATAGTTATGCGGGACTCGGAGCGGAACCGCGTGAAAGCGGGTCTGGTTGCAGGAGAAAGCGGGAATTGTGTGTCTGGCATTATTAAGCGTAAGAAGTGAATCTGAAAAAGTTACATACTATATAATCCCAACTATATGACATCCTGGGAAGGGCAAGACGACGGAGATGTAAAACGATAATAGTTGCCAGGGTTGGGGCTGAATGGAAAACAGGGAGAGAGCACAGGATTTTTAAGGCAGTGAAGTGATTCTGTATGATCTTAATGGTAGATACGTGTTGTTATACATTTATCAAAGCCCGTAGAATGTACCACACCAATAATGAACTCGAATGCAAAGTGTGGACTTGGGTGTTCATGATGTGTCATGTTGGTTCATTTGTAACAAATGTGCCTCTCTGGTGGGGAATGTCGGTAATGGGGGAGGCTATGCATATGTCCTGTGGCAGGGGTGAGGGGTAAGTATATAGAAAATATCTGTACCTTCCCCTCAATTTTGTAGTGAATCTTACACTACTCTAATATATATATAATTTTTTTAAAAAAAGAATGTATGAAAGGGCTTAAAAAAGACTTTGAATTTGGACAATGTGGGCCAACATTTTTTGAGAGCTTATGTGCCAGCTAAACGCTTTTCATGTATTAAACTCATTTAGTGTTTGCAAGTGCCAAATGCATAAGTATAGTATTACTAAAGAATCCTATTTTAGACAGGAACCAAAAAGAAGTGAAGGAGTATGTCCCAGGGCACACAGCAAATAAGTGGTAGAGTCAGAATGGAAGCCTCAGCTCTAGTGCCTATGATCTGAACTACCCTTCTGAAGCTCACAAAATACACTTTGGCAACAGTCTTTTTATAATGAAAATAAAGTATTGCAACCAGTTCCCAGAGTCTAAACTGAAATGGAAGATGGACATGTCAGACCAATTTTCAAAAATAAATGTCAGAAACAGCATTTTATTGCATCCAACTTTATTACCAGTTTGTGGTACTTTCTGCATCCTATTGTAGTTATGACATATATCATTCAGTTTTTAAATGAGTATGTAAGTAATATGTAAGCAAAACTGTGAGGCAGGATAGTGTTGTGGTATAGATGTTGGAGTCAGACCTGAGTGTGAATCTTGGCTTCATTGCTTAGTGGTGGGTATGGTACTTCACTTCTCTAAAGCTTTATTTGCTTTTGAAAAATGGGATAATAAAATTTATCTCTAGAATAATGAATTCAACATGCTTTGCACAGAGCCTGACATGTTTTAAGCACTTAAAAATGGTAACTAATAAATTTCTGACCCAGAAAAGCAACTAAGCTACTCAAAGAGCAGTTGTAATGAAATAATCACATATATAAAATTATTAACATTTATGAGGAAGTGGTTCCTAATTAGCCATATTTTTCGTAACGCATAACCATATAGGATTTTCACTACGGCATAAGAGAATGATACTTAAGTTATAGTCTGGCCTCCCATTCTCTTCTGCAAAATCTTAGGTCAGCCTGTACTCTGCTGTTAATTCCCTAAAAATGTCAAGTGCATCCTTATAATTCTCCCTTTCTGGTGACTTTCATAACTGCCATTTCCCAAGGTAAGTTGATATTTCCTTGGGGAGAACAAGTGTATTTATTATCTTAATATTGGTTTAATACATAATTTAAAAAGTAAATTGGACATCCCTTTATGATAAAAATAAGTGGGTATAGAGGAAATGTACCTCAACTTAATAAAGGCCATATATGACAAGCCCATAGCTAACATTATACTCAGTGATGAAACGCTAAAAGCTTTTCCTCTGAGATCGAGACAAGGATGACCACTTTTACCACTTTTATTCACCATAGTACTGAAAGTCCTAGCCAGAGAGCGTTTAGGCAAGAAAAAGAAATAAAAGGCATCCAAATAGAAAGGAAGAAGTAAAACTGTCACTATTTGCAGGTGACATGAATATATATATATATATATATATGTATATGTATATACTCACCCTAAAGACTCCATCAAAAAACTTAAAACGAACAAAGTCAGTAATGTTGCAGACTACAAAATCAATACACAAAAATTGGTTGCATTTCTATACACTAATAAAAACTATGAGGAAAAAAATGCCATTTACAATTGCATTAAAAGGCATAAAAATACCTAGGAATAAATTTAACTGAGGTGAAAGACCTGTATAGTGAAAACTGTAAGACAGTAATGGAAGAAATTGAAGAAAATACAAGAAATGGGAAGATATTCTGTGCTCATGAATTGGAAGAATAGTGTTTAAATATCCTTATTACCCAAACAATATACAGATTTAATGTAATCCCTATAAAAGTTCTAATGGCACTTTCACAGAAATAGAAAAAAAATCTAAAATTTGTATGGAACCACAAAGATCCCAAATAACCAAAGCAATCTTTAGAAAAATGAACAAAGCTTAGGCTCATGCTCCCTGATTTAAAGCTATATTACAAAGCTATAGCAATTCAAGCAGTATGGTATTTGCATAAAAACACACATAGATCTATGGAACCGAACAGAGAGCACAGAAATAAACCTATGCATATATAGTCAACTAATTTATTACAAAGAAGCCAAGAATATACAATCAGGAAAGGACAGTCTCTTCAATAAGTGGTGTTGGGCAAATTGGATAGTCACATGCAAAAGAATGAAACTGGGCCACTGCCTTAAACCATACATAAAAATTAATTCAAAATCGATTAAAAACTTGAACATAAGACTTGAAACCATGGAACTCGGGGAAGAAAACATAGGCAGTAAGCTCCTTGACATAGGTCTTGGTGATAATTTTTTGACACCTAAACCCAAAGTAACAAAAGCAAAATTAACAAGTGGGACTACCTCAAACTAAAAAAACTTCTGCACAGCAAAGGAAAACCATTAACAAAATGAAAAGGCAGTCTACTGAATGGAAGAAAATATTTGCAAATCATATCTGATAAGGGGCTAATACCCAAAATATACAAAGAACTCATTCAACTCAATAGCATGAAACCCCCAAACAATCTGATTTAAATATGGGAGGAAGGTCTGAATAGACATTTTCCATATAAGATATACAGGTGGCCAACAGGTTCAGGAAAAAATGTTGACATCATTAATCATCAGGGAAATGCAAATCAAAGCCACAATGAGATATCAGCTCACACCTATTAGAATGGCTGTAATAAAAAAGATAGGAATTAACAAGTGTTGGGAAAGATGTGGAGAAAGGGGAACATTTGTGCTCTGTTGGTGGGAATGTAAATTGGTGCAACCACTATGAAAAACAGTATGGCCCTGGCTGGTGTGGCCCAGTTTGTTAGGCATCATCCCATTGTACCAAAGGGTAACTGATTCGATTCCCAGTCAGGGCACATGCCCAGGTTGTGGGCTCTGTCCCCAGTGAGGGGCATGCAGGAGGCAGCAGATTGATGGTTTACTCTCACATCGATGTTTCTCTCTTTCCCTCTCCCTCTCAAAATCAATAAAAATATTTTGTTTAAACTGGTATGGAAGTTCCTCAGAAAATTCAAAGTAGAAGTACCGTAGGATGCAGCAATTCCATTTCTGAGTATTCATGCGAGGAATACAAAATCACTGATTCCAAAAGATATGTGCACTACATGTTCATTGCAACGTTAATTGCAATAGCCAAGATACCGAAATAATCTAAGTATTTATCAATGGATGAAAATAAAGAGGATGTGTATATAGATTGAAATATTAATTAGCCATAAAAAAGAATGACATTTTGCTATTTGCTGCAACATGGGTAGACTTAGAGGGTACTATGAAGTAAGTCAGACAGAGAAAGTTCTATACACTATATGTATGATCTCTCTTACCTGTGAAATCAAGAACAAAAAAACAATCTGGTAGATAGGACAGATTGGTGTTTGCCAGGGTGAACTGTTTTTGTTGTTTCCCCCGTTTAATAAGAAAAAAGGAAAGTATATCTATTTTAATAACACCTGCGTATCTTTAACTTGCACATCAATGTAAGATTATCCTCAACATAATTTGAATCCTAGAGCAACTTTCTGCAGTTAGACTTCTAGGTTATTCCTACCTCACTACTTAGTCAATGTGTACCTAAGGAATGCATGAGATTGTTTATATTATCCTAGGATTTACTTAATTGGGACTAAAATATTTTGTAGAAATATCATAAGAACTTGTTCTATCCCAAATAGAATTTAATATATTATCAAAGTATTTACAGCACAATCATGGTATTTTCTGCATTTGCTAGGTATAATTAACTGTTGGATTCCAGATTTTTATAACACTTAATGAACTTCATCAGTGATAGAATATTGATGCAATTACTCATCTTTTATGAAAGGATGCTATATTAACATAAAAATCTTTCAGATACTGAGAGGTAGGTTCTGTTGTTTCATGATTGTCTCATGTCCTAGAGAGTGTGATTCAGAAAAAAAGAAATGCTTGTAAGGGCTTTTGTTCAAAATAAATGAAAAATACAATTGCTGAGTAGTCCGTTTTCTTTCTACACAGTCTCTGTGTCCTGTGAATACAGCTGATAGGCATACACTGGGAGGCCTTCCAGAACTTCCAGAGAGCTCATGAGGATTCCCATGCTAATAGAGGAATGAACAAACTGTCTCTAGTTAGGGCCACACATCAGGCTGTTCCAGGTCTTCTCTCAGATTCCCCCTTAGGCTTTTCTCTGGGGCTGTGGCACTCAGTCTTATAATCGTTTTCCTGCCCTCTGCTTTGTGTCCTGTCTCATCTCCACACTTTCTTAAATTTATCAACCTGGTTACTACCTCTCCATACCCTCTTCACTTTTTTTTTTTTTTCCAAATGATCTTTACTGAGACCTACTGATGGA